AAAAAAAAAAAAAAAAAAGCAGCACAGCACCAAGCTGGAAAACGAAAAGGGACAACACAGCGCGATGACGGGGCTGGCAGCGAATCCTTCACTTTCTTCTTTTCTGTCTTGTAATTGCAGCCAATGGTCCCCCTGTGATTGTGAAGAAGGAGAAGGAAGGTGAGAGCCTGGAGAAGAAAGAGGCGAAAGGCGGGGAGGTGATCTGCATAGATGACTGAGGGGACACTGGGGCCAGTTGCCCAGCTGGTCACTTCTGGACAAGACCTGCCCCTGGCAGAAGGGACAGGCTCCCCACAAGCCTCTCCTCTTCTTTTATTTTCTGATCATGTCGACGGCTTTGCCTTGGGGGTGGGGAAGTGGGGTGGAGAATGCTCCCCTCTGCTCCCCTGTGTTTGATTTAGTTGCTGTTCCCAAGCCCTTTCCCTTTTCCCTTTTGGGAGTGGGGAGGCAGGTCTCTAAACCAGCTGAACAACAGAGAGGTGTTTGGGAACCAGGGCATACCTGGGTTCTGCTCCTGGCCTGAGGCTAAAGTGGCAGGAATGGAATTAGAATTCCAGACTTTCCAGGGCTTCATCTTTGGAGCGTCCTGCCTGCGACAGGAGACCGGCAGTCTGCCTTGTGGCATTTGCCCTTAGCAGTGTTGAATCTTTGAGAAGCACTGCAAAATGACTCTATAAATATGAATATATATATAATGTATACACACTCATCCTGTATGTTTAATCCCCTTCCCACTTGTGCTTGAACCCCCTGTGGGGCAATAATGGGGCAGGCTGGGGAGGGTGGGAGGCACTCCCTAGCCATGTTCTGTTCTGAGAACACTTTGGGGTGGGGAGCAAACATCCCCCACCTTCCTCTATCTGGAAATGGAGCCCTCCCAGGAGTGTCCCCTGCTCTGTGGGAGTCAGGGAGCTGTATCTCCCTTCCTGCTAACCTCATCCTTGAAAGCAAGTTTGTTTGGGGGGAGGGGGGAGAGGCAACAGCAGGGCCAAGCTGCACTCCTGGATTTGTTGCCGAATTTCAAGTCACTTCTTGTTTAAACCTTGCAGAATAAAGGCACTGTTTCCTTGGCTACATAACCTTGGATGTCTTGTGCCTCCTTTGTGTGGGTTGGAAAATGGGGTGCTAGCTGGGTTTGAAGAGTCGCTGGAAGGGTTAATCCATCAGCCTTCAGCCTCAGGCCTTCTTGATGTGTTGGACCAAAGCGCCCATCATGCCCTGTTTGAGGAAGGCTGCGTTAAACAGGGTGCCAGGGAGCCCTCGGCACTGCTCTTGTGCTAGCTTAACGCAGAGGAGGGCTTGTGAGGTGCCCTCAAGTCGTAAGGCGGAATGACCTGAGAGCTCAGGTGCCACATGCCAGATGCGAAACTGCAACGGGCCGAACTTGGGAGGCATCTCTGTGCCCTCGCAGCTGCCCACTGCAAGTTGCTTTGCTTTGGGACCCAGAGGCTTGGTGAGGATAGCAGTGTGCAGGTGTTGCAGATGAAAAGACTTGCCAACTGGAAGCGAAGGGGTGGATGCACTCGATTTCCATTTGTAACATTAAGGATGCGTAAGCTGATGCTCAGCCGCCTCCCTTTAATATTCTGTGATAATAGTAATAGTCCTTGTGAGCACCGTCTGTGGGGGAAGCAGCACTGCGCTGCAGTTCCATTTAAACGATTAAGCCGCCCTGCATAAACGCAGCCATGCACAAATATCTCTTTGGTACTGGGATATTTCTTTGCTTACTGCCTCTGTAAAAGCTATGAAAACACATTTTCAAAACGTGAATTAACTTTTTTCAATACTGGCACCACCTGCAACCACAAGGAATGGTGGGAGTTGTAGTCCGGCAAATATGGAGGACACTAGGCTGGGGAAGCTGGCCCAATACCACACAATCTGGATGGGAGTTGTCAGCCCATCCTAAAAGGACAGGGAGGCAAATTGAAAATTTTGGAACGGACTCCAGCCCCATGCCACAGTGAGAAAACATGTTGCTGTGGCAAATAGGAGCCACATACATCCAAGGCGAGGACGCAGGCTGCAACCGGCGGTGTATGGTCCTTTACGCAGGATGGGGCTGGAGGTGACAAAATACTGTGGTTTTGCACCTCACATCAGTCGTGCAGGCTGTCTTGAGACCTCAGTTATGAAAGAAACAGCATTTTGAAAAGGAGTGTGCATGTGACTTAATGGCATAGAAACACTTTCCACCAGAAGAGGTCAGGCTGATCTGCAAGCAACTCTCCCAGGGAATCCATCCTTCAGTTCCAGTTTTCCAAGAGTGACTGAAGTTCTAAAATGGTAAAAGAAGAAAGTGCAGAAGCAGGACTGCGGCTAAATATTCAGAAAACAAAATCATGACTACAGAGGAATGATAAAATTTTACTGTCAGCAACTAAGAAATTGAAATTGTGAAAGATTTTATGTACCTTGGCTCAGTCGTCAATTGAGGAGGAGACTGTAAACGAGAAATTGGAAGAAGACCGAGACTGAAAGGGCAGCAATTAAGGAAGTAGAAAAGTTCAAGGGTAAGGACATTTCACTGGAGACCAAGGCCAAGCTCATCCACACTATCGTATCCCCCACCTGTATGGATGGGGGTGAAAGCTGGACAGTGAAGGGAATGGATGCATTCGAAGCGGTGCTGGAGGAAAGCTTTGGGAGCGCCCTGGACCGACAGAAAGACAAACGGGGGTCCTGGATCGAATCGAGGCAGAGCTTTCCCTAGAAGCCTGCTCTGGGCGCATCACGAGCAGGCTAGACTCCTGGGAGAAGACGATCACGCCAGGGAAGGTCGAAGGCAGAAGAGGAGAAAAGCCGACTAGGAGATGGACCGGCTCCATGAAGGCAGCCCCGGCCTTGAATTACGCGAGCTGAGCAGGGCTGTTCAGGAGATGGCGTACAACAAGAAGAAGATGGTATGTGTGGCAGTTTCCTGGCTTCAGTTTTTGGGGTCCTTGGGCCAAATTCTGTCCCTGGGCTTCCTCCCTACATCTTCACATTACCACCACCCCCTGCTGCTTCTGCTCCTCAACTTCGCTGCCACTTGCTTGGCAGGCAGGGACACCCACTGCCCCTGCCACTTGCCACCACTTTTCTGGGCCAGGGTAAGAGGTAGGTGAACGAGCAGCTTGTAATGCGGAAGAGGAGCAAAACGGCCTGAGTGCTGTGCTGCCACCTGCCTTGGGCCCAGCAGCACTTAGCAGATTTCCTGCTTGTCCTGTGGCTTCCGGACCCTCCAACGCAAGGATCGTATCTTTTCCATGTGGCATCCCAATTCACAGCTGAAATACATCCAGCAGCCTGCAACTTGGACCCAACATGGCAGCCTCCAGATGTGTTGGGACTACAGTACCCATCACCAGCCAGTGCAGCCAATCATCATGTCAGGCTGATGGGACCTGTGCTCAAAACACATCAGGAGGCCACCAGCTTGGGAAAGGTTAATGTTCTCTTGTTAATGCGATTATGAGTTCATTTGTGCTTTGTTTGGAATGTGACTCAAATATTTGTTGATAGCCTATCCAGAAATAATCTCGGATTGTTTAAACAGTTGATAAGCATTTATCTCCATTTAGTTGCCCTCATAAAGCGCAGATAAAATCCTTCTACAGTTTTCCCTTGTCAAGAGGAATACATTTTTCTACTCATGGGGACAATAAAGTTGGAGCGTACCAGTTCATGTCACCAGGAAATCCCTTCCCTGCATACATGGCCTGTTGGGTAATGAGAACAGGGCTCACCACATCATTTGGAGCTTCTGAAATTAAGCATCTGAGTTTAGGGACCCATCTGTACAGAGAGATTCGGTCACAGTAACATGCACCTTCTTACCAAGTATGACATTAATATATTAGTCATTCTGAACAGTCTTTCCTACTGAATTTATAAAGAACACTAAGCCAAAGCTCTTAATGCAAAATAACCGTATCTGTGGATAGAGCACTGCATAGAAGTTATACCTGTAGCAAAAAGCTTCACCCATCATGTGGTTTTAAGTTTTTAATACTTGGAATTTGAAGTTTTTAGCTGGTAAGTGGCAAAGAAAAAGAATCCAACAGAGGGCTTATAGACTGATCCAGTTCATCTATTCCCACCAGTTTTTTCCCAGGAATGCCACCTCCTTGGTTTTACAGTTCTTTGGCTCTGCACAGTCATTGCCCACATGTTAAGGATGCTGCCCTGCTCACACACTTCGACACAAGGCAATTTCCAGCTTGTTCGAATGAGATTCCCTGGCTACCAACAGCTTTAGTCATATCCCTCCACGTTTGACCAGTGCTGGTCCTATTGTGCCCTGGGCTCGGGAGAGTCACCAGAGGCCACACACAGTCCCTTACAAGCAGCACTTGGCCTGAATCATGCGACTGGTAGGTCCTGTGCCCAGGGGGATGATTAAACAGGAAGCGAATGATGAAACAGAGCAACCATTTGAGGGAACCAGAGCAGGACCTGCGGACAAAGCTGTGCTCTGTAGCAATTCTGCGTGAGTCAGCCAGATGGTGAAACGGGAGCAGAGGAAGCCAGCTTGGCTGCTCAGCCAGAGTACTCAAGTCTCCAAGGGTTGAGTATTTCCCAAGGCAGGGTGAGGCATTAGCCCTCTTCCACCTGAGCTTTGATCCTTCCCAACTTGAGGAGTATAGCATCCCACCAGTCCTCACAACAGACCCTCCCCCATCCTAGATCGAACTCCACATCACTCTGCTTTGTAACAAGGGTGACCGGGCCAGTCAACCGCCTCCCCCCAGGGTCGCTCTGAGGCCAAAATGGAACCACAGGAGCTGCACTGGGTTCTTTGCAAGAAGAACCAGAGCGGGATATATGCGTATTTGTAACAATAAGGAGCAGTCTGCAAAACCACTTGTGGAATGTTAATTCACATCAAAGTCCACATACCACACTCGTCTCTTAACCACTCACTTGGCCGACAGGGACTACCAGGAATTCTGAGTGAGCGAGCGAGGCTGACAGAGGAACGGCAGCTCCGTTTTTTAATAAGCGATCACCAAAGCAGCATTTCAAATCTTAAGTTTTATTAATGTAAAATAAGTTACAGTTATCAAAATATTAAGGAATTGGCACAAATCATAAATACAAAATGAAGTACTTCAAACACATTTCACAGAAATGCTTATTAAAAACAACCATCATTTAAAATGTGATTTTTTCGGCAAGGAAACATCCAAGAGGATCTGGCTGCTCTCTTGATGCAAGTATTAATCACAAGTGGGATTTCCAAAATCTGAGCTCACAGAATGTTTTGCAGCTTCTTAGCAACACAGCAAAAGAAAAGTGAATTAGTAAGGCAGAAACCAAGCTTGCTTGTCCAAAGGCTGCATGTACACTGGGGTCAAGTTTCTCTTTGAGTCCCTATATGCCATTTGGCAAAATCAACTAGTCTCTTTCTTCAGTAACATATCTGAATAACGAGAAATACAACTTGACCTGGTATAAAAAGTTGCAATATAAAGGCCTTAATCACCAAGAACTGTATTAGGTGCCCACAGCCAAGTGACCGGGCCAGTCCAACAACAGAACTGTTGCCGAGAGAGGCTCCTCCTTGGACAAATCATTTGTGCCTGCAAGCTGGGCTCAGATTAATAGTTCAACGATACACCTGGCCCCACCAGGAGAATGTGGCAAAACGGGAATGGTGGCAGTATCCTACCTGGGCAGAAATTAACTCTCACAATACAGACTTACTCCTTTAACTCTGGAGTGCCTCCCAGGTCACAGGGAGGCATTGGATGTCACAGAACCAGAGAGGAAGCATCATGGGGATGCCATCCAACAAAATGTAATTGTTCTTCCACAGGCAGGAAAATGCCAAATATAAAATACATTTAGCCTCCAAGACTGAAGAATGAAGGCTAAACACGCACATGAACAAAGACTGCAGAAAGCATTATTTCCATCCTAACTCCTCCCACAACAATGAACAGAGGTTTTACAAAAACAGTTGCTTTAAGTAGAAAAATAGATTTCAAAGAACGGCAAACCATATATTCAGCTTCCTAACCATATTCATCCATTTCTGACATGACTGGTGGGAAGGCACTTCCAGAAAGTGATTTCTCATTCTCTCCCCTTGTTTTTTAAAGGCAAACAAACAACAGAGAAGTTTGTTGTACCAAAGGTATTGGTGTCGGGGTCAGAATCGTGAGAAACACTCCACTCAGTAGGCTATATAACTGAGCATGAAGTGTCACGTCTTTTCCCCTGCCTCCTGCTGTAACTCTTGCCTCCTGCTGCATTTCACAAGGCCTGAGAAGCAATGGACTACTACAGAACGGTGCTCTTTTGCAGTCGCCCGTCTGCATTGGGCTCTGTGGGTTAAAGAGCAACCGCAAATTCCAAGAACTTCTAAAGGAGAAAAAAGCACATCAGCCTCCATCATCTTCCACACGCTGCCGGGAACGAACACATCACGTATAAGCCAAAGGCTGGTTTCATCAGCTCTTGTTGATTCAGACTTGCTCTGCTTTTTCTGATGTAGCAGGTCATACAAATACGTCAATTCAAGCCAACCCAGCTTTTCAGATGATGTAGCAAGTCATGAGTGCCAGGTCTTTTATTTCGGAGTTGTAGGCTGCCAAGGAGAAACAAAGAACCACTCGTGTAAACAAAGGGTGAGATTATCCCTCTTTGCACTTATAAGCATTTGAAATATCAGTCCCCTGCCTTCTACCAATAGCAGCCACTTTCTTTTATAGAATCTCATCCTTGCAGAAACTACACATTAAAGCTAGGAAGCATTTTACTTATACAACTGCATTTGAGTACACCTACCCTCCCTTCACCCACACCCTGTCTGGAAAACAATGAAGTCACCGGTCAACTCAAGGTCTGTACATACACACTAAAATCAAGTACAGGATTCCCTTTTGCAAAACTTCTTTCCTTTCCTGACCACCAGGGCCTCCTGCTGCATGTTCTCACTGAGGGACCGACCAAAAATCCCAAAGGAATGAGCCAAGCAAGGCTGTGACATCACCCTTCATACAATGGCTTCATTTTAACATGGCGCCACTCTGCCAACTTGGACCATATGCCTGCAAGACCCTGCAGTTCCTTCTCTTTCTCTCACAGGTTTTGTGCCTCAATCGCACCACCACAGAGCAGGCAAGCTCCGTGAATAGCAATTACTGAAGTGGGAAGATGAGGTATAACTCTATTCATTGCACACGGGCTGTTTGCAAACTTAGCTGAAAAAATCAAACTAGTATTTGATGGTGAACAGCTGGGGAAGGAATGTGCACGCAACTGGATGGATGTCTGCACAGTTATTAAGATGAGCACTTTATATCAGGTTGTGCCGGGTGTGCCCTTCTTGTTCTGCTGACATCTCAGTTGCCTCTGACCAGGCCACAGAAGAGACCAGGCCTTTTTATAGCAGCATCTGGACTGAAGAACTTTCCGAAAGAAAGTTAATCTTTTATCTTCCCTGACTGCTCAGTGTTGTCCAGAGCCCCTTCAGAGGCCGGATGCAAAAGGACTAAGCAACACACAGCAACTGAGGTGAGGGACAGCAGCCACAACTTTGCTCCAAAGCTTAAAAAAAATAAACCATTTTATCATAAGCCCGCTGCAGTCATAAGGTCAAATCAACCTTAACAGTCATACCTTAACCAACCAGTAAAATCGTCCTGTATGTAAAAACATCAGTTCTAAAGCAGAAAAATTTTGACTTCTTGTAATACACACCCCACCTCAGAGTGAATAATGACTATGCCTAGAAAATCAGCTACTGTGATTTACAGTAGCTAGAAAATGAGTTACTGTGTGGCTACAAAAACAAAGGGTGCCTGCAGACTCATTAAGCAATTGCCCTACTTTGCTCCCGGAATGTTAATGTGCATCCTGCTGATGTCATCTGCTATTTGCACCTTTACTGTTTTCCCACCTCTTCCCTTACCGGGAGGAAAAAAACTTGTCAGATAAGTAAAAACAGCAGGCCATTTAGTATTGTGTTAAAAGACTTACTTTAGCCTTGCCTGATCTGTACTGGATTATATTTGTTCTTGTTCACCCCTCACATATTTCTCGTGAATCAAGCTGGTATCAGCAAAAAAGCAATACTCCCTGGCTGGTGGTGCTTCTCCATCTGGAGGCATCACAAGGGTGCCTCAAGTATGAACCGACTGCACCGAAAGCCCTGGGGAACACCGGGCACCCGCTCTGCCAGCTGCGCAAAGCACTGCATCGCTGGAGCATGCCCCTCTCCCGCCCCCGACTGCAAGGACCACTTCTCCCTTCTCCGGACCAAGGCCGATGCCACACTGCGTCCCATTTTGGCCACAGGAGGTAAGGAGGGCGCAGATCCAACACGCCTAACACAGAACCGAGTCAGGGAAGATGGCTTTCATAGGGAGCACGGGGCTCTTGGCCAGCATTCAGTCCGGTGGCTCCACTCCAGCTGTGCTGGATTACAGGGCCCATCCTCCCCAACCAACATGCCCCAACGTGCCGGCGCTCCGAGCGACGATGGACCACGGCGCCCATAATGCCTCTGGGCCATGCTGGATGGGGACGGTGGCGGTTGCAGTGCTAGGCCGCGGGATGCCGCCATGCCCATCACCCCCCCGACACGAACAGCTGAAGAGCCCTCACGATTGACTGGCGGCGGCCTCCGCCGGGCCGGCATGGAGCTGCTCCGGCTTCGCCCGCTCCGGCTCCGCGCATGCGCCTGGCGCCCGCCTCCCTTCAGCAGCCGCTTCAGCGCCCTCCAGGGCCGCCACGGCCCGTCGTCGTCGTCCTCGTCGCCGGCGGCCTCAGCCTTGCGGCCGGCCTCCTCCTCCTGCTGCTGCTGCCGCCGCCTCTCGAGGCGCACGACGCGCTGCCACAGCTCGGCGTCGATGGGCGGCAGGACGAGGCGGCGCCGGCCCGCCCCGCTGCCGCGCCGGACGCCGGCCACGAGGAAGTGGGCACGCTCGCGCAGGGACGTGACGGCACGGCAGTAGGGGCACGTGACCTCCTCCCACCAGCCCTCGCGCGCCAGCTGGCAGACGCAGGCGCTGCAGATCACGTGGCGGCAGCGCGAGGGCTTCCAAGAGCCGTGCGCGCCCCCGAGGCGGCGCGGCGCCCGCCCGCAGCGGTCATAGGGCATGCAGCAGATGCCGCACTCCAGCTCCTCCTCCTCCTCCGCCCCGGCGGCTGGCAGGCTCCCTCCGCACTCCCCCACTGCCATGGCTGGTCTGCCCCGCATCCACTGCTGAAGAACCGCCTGACACGCCTCGGCCTCAACTGGACGGTTCCTCTCGCCTCTCCCTCTATATATAGATGCAGCGGGCGCGTGGCGGGATGCTTTCTTCGGCCACGCCCCTTTGTCGCGCAGCCAACGCGGAGCTGGAAGGGGCGGGGCCTCGAGTGCGGCACGAGCCTGACGGCCACGCCTCCTCGCCCGCTTCGTTTGGGGGCGAACAAGGCGGGAAGAGAGCTCGAGGGGGCGGGGCTTTCAAGGCGGATTGGAGTTGAGGTGAGGGCGTGGTGACGCCAGACGCAGCTTTGAACCGCTTCGTCAGGTAGGCAGACAGGCGTCGAACAGGTGAAGAAAGCGTGGCTTTACCTGTGTCATTTCTGCCTGGGCGATGACACTGAAAGGCTCAAGGGGCAGCCTTAGTAGTAAGCTGGACTAGAGGGAAGAGGCCCGAGTTTAACTCTGCCTCAGTGATGGGGTGACCCTGGGCCAGTCAGTGGCCGCCAACCTGGCCTCCCTCACAGGGTCGTTGTGAGGTTACTAAGTGCAGGGGATGGGGTGAGGAGAACCTCAGACCAGCTGCACACAACTCCTGGGAGCTGGGGAAGATCAAAATTATTGGGCAATATTTCACCCTGTCATTCCATCAAGGGGGCCCGAAAGTGGTGGGCAACAGGTTGCGATACCACGAAGCACCCCTCAGCCCTGCTGTCTTTGGACCCTCCCCATGAAAGGGGCCTTTTGGCCCGTGAAGTAATTTGGGAGGCCTGCAGGGAGAACAAAAAACTCACGAGGGTTTATAAAAGGGACAGATCCGGACTCCAGCCAGGTTCCTTGAAGGTTAAAACCTTGGCCCGCTGGGAAGGATTTTCCCCCTGAGAGCTTGGCAGAGGCTGAGGTGAGAGTACAGAAGAACCCTCTGAAGTAACGGGAAAGTTTGGCAGTTGTTGGCTGCGAGTCCCGGAAATGTCACCCTGGCCTTCCAAAGCGGGCCCTGGACAAATAAGATTTACTGGAATGGCAAATGAGAATTGGGTCTTTTGGTTTCGGGCCCAGGAAGCGGGATGTTTGGTCCTTTCCCCTGCACTGAAGGAGATGTGAATGCAGGCTCTGTTGGCATTCCCGGGGGGGGGGGCGGTATTTGGGGGCAAGTCATGTTATGAACCTGCTTGGCTTTTCCCAGGATGAGTCACCCTGTTTGCGTGCTTCTATGGGATCTTGTCCAGGGGAACTTTGCGAAGCGGTCAGGGATGTAGGAATTTGGCAGATCAGTTAGGAGGGCTTGCAATGCCAGCTACTCCCTGCCAAGGAATAGAGAAAGCGGAACTGGAAGTTTCTTCTCTGAAGCCCATTTTTTTGCAGCTGTTTCCTGCTTGGGCAATACGTCAGCAGAGACTTTGACCAGAAAATACCCTTTTGGGTTTTAAGCTCACCATACAATGCACGTACATAAGTGGCGGAGTCTTACAGGAAATGTCTCTTTACTCTTGACCTCGGGGTCAACCTCCTCTCACCCTTTGATTCCAGCCTCCACTTTTGCCTTCAGTGCAAGCTCCTTGTTTTTACTGTAATATGCTGTCAAATATTCTTTGACTTTTGGGGGCCCTGTGAGTGCCCCCCTGCTCAGCTCTTGTAAAATCAAGGCTGTAGCATCCTGGATGGGATGAAGAGTTTGTCTCCCTCCTCTTCTGCCTTCAACTTTCCCAAGCATGATTGTTTTTTCCAGTGAGTCTTTCCTCCTTATTATGAGCCTGATGTACGACAGCCTCAATGCTGGCATTTTTGCTTCCAGGGCAATTTCTGACTTGATTTATTTGATCTAGGGGCCACTAGTTCATCTTTCTGTCTTTGCAAGGTATTCACATGTCTCTTTCACACCCATGTATGGAGATTGAGAATATAGTCGTCTGGATGATCTTGGCTTTAATCACTGGTTAAGACTTCCAGTGTGTCCCTTTTGCATTCTTCAGGTGGCAGGTGGCAGAAAGACTTAGATCGCCTCGATCTGTTTCTGTATGTATGACACTTCCCCATAACCCGAGGCCTCTCTGGGTGGCTCACAAAACAGAGACATACAGAGTAAAATCAACCATCACTTTTAATCACTAAAAAGAGTTTGGAATCAACAGTCCTTATTTTATGTTGAGAGCCAGTGTGGTAGAACGGTTGAAAGTGAGGGCAACTGAGAGGAGGAGGAGGAGGAGGAGGAGGAGGAAGACTTTATAGGAGCATAGAAACAGAGCAAGTCAGAAGGGGCTTCCCGGGCCATCTAGTCTGACCCCTGGCTTCAGCCAGCTCCACTCATGACATGCCCAACCTAAGCTGCCTCAGGTTCCTTGCAGGAAAAAAAAAAGGGGTATATGTATATTTCATACATAAAATAAATGTTATCAGGTGCAAGAAAAAACAAATCCACATCTATGCAGAGTTAATTCTTCTTGCCTTGCTTGTGGCTGTTTTGTTTCTAGTGCTCTCTTGTAACAATGACCTTATAATCTAATCCACAGTTCGTTCCAGTTCAGTTACTCCATAATGACCGGGGTTGCTTCTTTTCTGATCTCCCCACTACAGTGTGTTAAAAGGGTGCTTCCTTTTTATTTCTCTTCATCAGGACAGGTTGACTACCTTGCTGACCCTGCAGCATTATGAGATGCAATTCTTATTCAGGAATAAGAATGGATGTAAAAGGAGATGGGTAAAGGGAGATAAGTACTATGAGTCAGAGGAAAGACTCTGGAAGAGTCAGATATTTTGGTTGTATAATGTTTTTTCTCTCTCGGAGTGCACAGCCTTTCTCCCCTTGACCACACTGAGACAGTGTGGTGTAGTGGTTAAGATTGTGGGACAGGGGCAGTCTAGTTCTACTCTGTGGAATGCGCTCTCCAGAGAGGTCCGCCTAGTGCCGTCGTTATTTGTTTTTCGGCGCCAGGCTAAGACCTTTTTATTTAAACAATATTTTAACAGTGTTTAATATCATCTATAGGCTTTAACTTCCAGCCAGAATGAATCGGGGTTTTTAATTTGTGTAATTTGTATTTTTTGTATTTGTATTGGGCACTATGTTGTCTATTTTTGTTTGTTTATGTAAGCCGTCCCGAGACGTTAAGCGATGGGACGGCTTATAAAAACTCCAAATAAATAAATACATAATAAAAAATAGTCCCCACATGGCCAAGAAACTCACTGGGTGACTTTGAGCTTGTCACAGACTCTCAACCCAAATTACCTCACAGGGTTGTTGTTGTGAGGACAACACTGAGAGGAGGAGGTGATTGATGTAAACTGCCTTTAATTTCTTGGAAGGAAAAAGGTGGGATATCAATATAATGAATAAATGAATAAAAGTTGGCTGGGGAATCACGTCTGCTTGTATACATATGTAGAGATGCGTGCACACGTGTGCAGAATAAAGTTGGAGGAGGAAAACTCATCTTCCTCTCCCATGGTAACCCCCCAACAGACATTGCTGCTTTTGCAGAGCCATTAATGATATTTATTTATTTTTATTTTATTTTATTTAGAATTTTTGTATGCCGTCCCATTCGCATGAGCCTCGGGACAGCTTTCATACAATAAATGAACAACCATATAAATAGTGCACATTTGTACAGGATATTTGTACAACAAATTTGCTGATAAAGTCTGATCCAGTATTCTTTAAAATTGCATCTGATACTGAACTAGTATTTATCAGCATGTTTGATTCTCCCTGTTTTGGGGTTAGTCAAGATGAACTGAAAATTTGGACAGCTCGGAGGATTAAGTTCAAGCCCAATGATGTTGTGAAAAAGCATTATACTTTGGAGTTTTGCACAGAAGCACTCAAGTATCTTGTATTTATTTTATGACAGTTTGGCCCAGTTGTTTTACATTTCTCTGTCAAATCTGTATATCTGTTTGCCAAATGAAAACTGAATCAGGATCAGAGGAAGGAGTTAAAATTGGCAGAAGAAATATCACTAATTTAATGTACACAGAAGATACTCTATTACTGGCAGAAAGCAACAATGAATAAAAAAAACTGATGAAAGTGCAAAAGCAGGACTGCAGCTGAGCATGCAGAAAGCAAATCTCATGGCTACAGAAGAATTACGGAACTTTAATGTCAACAATGACGATTGAAATTGTGAAAGATTTTATTTGCCTTGGCTCAGTTATCAATTCAAAGGGAGGCTGCAGCCAAGAAATTTGAAGAGGGCTGAGACTGAAAGGGCAGCAATTAAGGAAGTAGAAAAGTTCATCAAGGGCAAGGACGTTTCACTGGAGACCAAGGCCAAGCTCATCCACACTATCTTATTCCCCATCTGTATGGATGGGTGTGAAAGCTGGACAGTGAAGGGAATGGATGCATTTGAAGCGGTGCTGGAGGAAAGCTTTGTGAGCGCCCTGGACCGACAGAAAGACAAACGGGGGTCCTGGATCGAATCGAGGCAGAGCTTTCCCTAGAAGCCTACTTTGGGTGCATCACGAGCAGGCTAAACTCCTGGGAGAAGACGATCACGCCAGGGAAGGTCGAAGGCAGAAGAGGAGAAAAGCCGACTAGGAGATGGATCGGCTCCATGAAGGCAGCCCCGGCCTTGAATTACACGAGCTGAGCAGGGCTGCCCCGGAGAGCACATCTCGGGGGGCTTCATTCAGGGGGTCGCCATAAGCTGGAGATGACTGGATGGCACATCGCAACAACAACAACAACATCTGCCAAACAAGGGTACTAGTCTGTCCAAGCGGGTGCTTACATAGCTACCCTTCTGAAATCTGCGTTTCACGCTGTACAGAACAGCCCTAGAAACATACGAGGAGTGCTCCATGAGCCCCCGTTTTGCATGCCCCTGGAGGCTGGTGCGCCATGACGGTGGGTTAAGTCTCCCTGGATGTCTGTATGCGCAGCGATAGGGAAGAAACGGCATCTCTCTAGTAAACAGGAAGCTGTGAAACCAGTGCGGGACCGAAGCTCATGCAGCTTTCCTTCTCAGCAGCTGGGATGATCACACACCTGGCTGTCACAAAGGAACTTGGAAGAGCTGGGACTGGCTGAGTCTGACAAGATTGGTGTCCGTGTCAGACACCAGTGGGGACCAAATGAACAACGAATTCAGGGACAGGTTTGTGGGGAGCCCAAGCTGCTGCTGTGAACTCAGAGGAGTAGCACTTGACTGCACTGCTGATGCATCGAAAGAGTAGGGGAATGTCACTTTATAGGGACCACAACAAAGGGAACTCTCTTGGCGGGTGGACTTTGTATTCAGCCAGATCGATTTGGACAGACTCAGGACGTAACTGAATGAACGTGGGGCTCCTTTGAAGCTGACCAAATCTGAGCATTGC